TCAGAAGCCACAGAGGACGCAAGACCTATTTGGGGATTTCCGAAAATAGGGGACCCTAATATAGTACCCTAAATAATAGGATCCTTATTATAAGGACCCCAAAATAAGGTACCCTAATTTTTGGAAACTCCCATTTACAGCTGGCTCGACATCTGGAAAAAGGCTATGGAGTGAGGTCGCCGGCTTTGTGAGTACACTCTGTCTCCAATAATTAGATCGGCGCAGTGAGTGCGGCGCAACAGATGCAACATCATCACTTCGTAGCCGTCAAAATCCTACCCACGTGTTACACGCCACCCCGGTCAACTCCCCAAACCAAGTGGAAAACTGCAGAAAGAAACATCCGTCCATTGGTAGCACCGTATGAGAACAACCTACTCAGGCCGACTATGACAGGCGACCTCGACTCAACCACCCTAAACACCCCTTAACCCTAATTAAACCCGAGTTCAGGCCGTTAATCCTAAATGCAAACTCTAAAATCTAAACCCTGAGCCCTATAAACCCTTATAAATCCTAAACCCTAAACCCCAGCTCAAAGAAACGTCACGTCTTTGGGATGCTGGCTGTCTTCGCAGCCTTCACCGTGTTGGCAAAAAGCTCCATGCCTTGTTGTTTAGGAGCCAGGGTTTGCGGTTTAGGGGCTTAGGGTTGAGGGTTTAGGGTCTATGGGGGGTTTAGGGGTTTTGGGTGTTTAGGGGTTAAGGGGGTTCGGGGTTTAGGGGTTTGGGGTTTAGGTGTGTAGGGGTTTCGGGGTTCGGAGTTTATGGTTTCCTGGATTTGGAATTCACTTTTTAATCATTAGACAGAAGTGTTTTGGGTACCGCTTTATACTATACTCATGTGGGGACTATAATGAGAGGGATACTATTACTAGGGGTTCGTTGCTTTAGGTTTGTGGCGACATCCCGCGGGGCCAGCAGTCCTTGAACAGCGCGATGAAGACCAGGAGTGTACGGTTTAGGGTTTAGGGTTTAGGGTTGGAATACCGGCAGGTTTAGGGTTTGGGGTTTAGGGACACAGCAAAGACGGGGATTCGGAGGTTCGGAAAGAAAGCCCCGAAATCCCATCGTTCCAAACCACCGCCTGGCCGCAGATTCCACCCACATGGGTAGTTCTCTAACGTCGGGTTCTTTTCTAGGTCCCCGAAATGATGCGGCGCCATTATAAGAGGGACCCTAAAGCCTAATTTAGAGAACCACCCACATGGAAAGGTCAAGCTATCCTCAGAGGAAAAGCCGACTTACTCCCGTGGGACCCAGCCCGAACCACCCTAAACCCTTAACAGGCTTTAAGGCTTCGGGCTCAGGGTGTAGGGTTTAGGGCGATACAGTAGAAGACAGAAACTTGGAACATCATTATCCTCATACCCTTATGGTAACGTCTAGGGAATCCCTGCACCAATGATGCTAAATCCATGTTCCAACTTTCTGAGGCTCACTGTCATCCCTGAACAAACCCTAAACCCTAAAACCCAAAACGCAAACCCGACAAAGACTTCGATCCTAAAAAAAGAAGAAGCCAAAACCCAAAACCCTAAACCCTATAACCCCAAACGCAAAACCCGATAAAGATTTCGATCCTTCAAAACAGCCAAGAAACCAAAACCCTAAACCCCAAAACAAACCCGACAACTCTATAAAGACTTCCCGAAAAAAGCCCCAGAGACCAAAACCCTAAACCCTATAAACTCTAGAACGAAAACCCTATGCCTGTAAAGACTTCCCCCAAAAAAAGCCCCAGAGACCAAAACAAACAGCGTCCACCGGGCTCCCGACTCTTCGGTCCGCAGTCCATGCCTGCACAGATCGACGAAGTCCCAGGCGTGAGGAGATTAGGTTCATTACCTCATATTTGGGGTTTAGGGTTTAGAGTTTAGGGTTTTTTTTCCAATGGGAGTTTAGAGTTTAGGGTTTAGGGTTTACGATTTAGGAGTTTAGGGCATGGGGTTTAGGGTCTAGGGCTTAGGGGTGCTGTAGCATACTAACCAGGTTTGCAAGGATTCCGGTCTTATGCTCAGGCCTTGTAAGGCTTTCTGACGGTTCAAAGGGTTCCATATCGGCTCTATTGTTTTTGACTGGTTTTCGAAGGATATGCGGTGTTCTATACCCGGATATGCTGTGCAAGCTGAAACCCGTGGCCACAGACCCTAAACCTGAAACAGACCACCCAAGAGTCAGTGTTCAGCACAGAGGGCTCTAGCGGAAGTAGGTAGCAGAAGTACGGACGACTGAGGAACCCAAATCATAGCTACACATGGGTACAAGTACTTCTCCGATGTCCAGGTACGATACCGCCAAATCCTAAAGTTGAACTCTCAAGCAGTAGAGCCACGAAAGCCCCCGGCTGCGAAAGCGCAGTAAAACCTACATCAATTTGACCTAAACCCTTCGTAGAAACCCTACAAAAACCCTACTAAGCCCTAGAGAGTCCTTGATAAAAGCCCTGTAAACCCTATCAAATCCTACACAAAACCCCCAAACAACCCTGCTAAAGCCTACTAAAGCCTACTAAACCCTAAACCCTAAACCCTAAACCACCCCAAAAGGCCTTCCCATCCATCGGGAATGCCCTCCTCCCGGGTGGCCAGCTTCGTCTCCTGAAAAAGTAGGAACAAACTAGGGGTGCAACACCTAGGCACAAGGGCTTAGGCCTCAGAGATGAGACCTTTAGGGTTCAGGTTTAGGGTTTAGGGTGTGTAGTGTAAATTTAGGATTCTGGGCTTTGAAGTAACCAGGGAGGAAAAAGTATAGACTTTCATTTCACAATGGCTCCTTTAAGGAATAGGTCCCCCCAAAAAAGTATTAAAGTATGGTACTCCAAAGCCCAGTGTATGAGGGTTTCTATAAAATCTCAACAGACTTCTACAAAATCTGAGTAGAGGTTTCTGTAGGGCTTATAGGGATTGTACAAAGGCTTATCAGGTTTCTGCAAAGGCTACAAAGGCTTGTAGGGTTTCTGTGAAGGTTTATAGGGTTTCTATACATTTTGGAGTTTAAGGTTTAGGGATTTAGGGTGAGGGCTTCAAAAAAGAGGCATATCAGGTAGGCGTACTTCGGGACTTGGCAGAGTTAGGGCTCTTCGTCAGTTTAGGATTCAGGTGTTCTGGCGGCTTAGGGTTTAGATGGACTCAATATGGGTAGTTGTCAAAATTATGGTCCCTTTTGGGGTACCCTAAATAATAGGTGCCGTATTATAATAAGGACCCCAAAAGGGACCATAATTTTGACAACCACCCATATGGCACTAAGGGCTCTGGGGCTAGAAGCGCTTCGAGGACTTGGGGCTTCACACTTCGGGTTGCAAGCTCGGGAGTTCTGGGCATGTCGGGTGGACGTAATATAGGGGCCTCAATAATTAGAATAGGGTTTTGGGGCCCATTCTACTATAATTATAACAAGGAGCCCCCCCAAAATAGTGTTGGTAACTACTTAGGCCCCTACATTTAAGGCTCTGGATTTCAGGGTTGTTGGGCTTCGTTACTGGATCTTAAGTTATTAAGGGTGGAGGAGGGAAAACAGGGACCACTACAAGGGACCCGCCTGGTTCAGAGCTCAGGGTTGTTCGGGTCGGGAAGTTTCAAGCTAGCGAAACAAGGCTTGGGGCTTTAGATTCGGAGATGACCCTAGACCTGAAAGGGCACAGTCAAAAGAACCCATTACTCAATTTCGTTTTAGCCCTATAGAGCTTCAAAGAAGCATACAATCAACAAGCATTCAGCTCCATCTAGACTCCTTCAACACCTCCCCCTGGAAGGCTCGACTCCTGGTCGTTCTTGAACTCCTGGCCGCAGAGCCAGTCGACCGGCAGCGTCACCTGCATCCACGGAGCCCAAAAACAGGCAGCCACTAGGCTTCCTTGAGGGTTTCGGGTTTAGGGTTTAGGCCTGTATAAGGGTGCCATGGAGTGTTGTAGGATTTGATGCGGGTTTGGTCAGGTCTGTAGACTTTCATACGGGGGTATCAGGCCGGAAAACGCCTTGGGGTTGCGGGGCCTTCTCCGTAGGCCCTAAACAGTAAACCCTAAGCCCTGAAACCTAAACCCTATAAACTCCCGAAGCCCTAAGCCCTCCCGAAGCCCTAAGCCAAAACCCTGAACCTAAGCCCTACAACCTAAGGGCTTTAAAAGGACGGGGGTTGTTGAGGAGGTCAAGGAGGCTATGGGGATTGAGGATGCCACGCTGGAGCCTTCAAGATTCCTTTTAGGGTTTATGGTCTAGGGTTTAGGGTTTAGAGCGTTTAGGGGGTTTCGGGTTTAGGGTCTGGGGTTTAGGGTCTAGGGTTATTTTGACGGTCACACTAGCCAAACGTGCGCCGTCACTTCGCATGCTACTGCTCAAGAGGAAAAGTGCCGCTTACAGTGCACACCTCTCGTTCGAACAAAGGAAAATTGAAACCGAAAAGGACCGATACGGTCTAGGGTTTAGGGTTTAGGGTCTAGGGTTTTGGGGGTTTCGGGTTTAGGGTCTAGGGTTTAGGGGTTTCGGGTTCAGGGTTTAGGTTTTCGCACACCGAATAGACCCCTATCATTGATAAGCACTGTTACAAGGCCCTGTAAACCCCTCCGTGATAACTTACCAAAGGAACCTGATTAAGAAACCCTTTCTCCTTGTTAGGGCTCTTGATACGGATCGTCCTACTTGGAGGTTCTAGGGATGGGTGTTTCTTGATCATGTTCCTACATTCCCCTACGGGACCTGTACAACACTGATCCCCCCTCCTCAGCCACGCCTCGCAGCCCTTGGCCTTTGCCTTGTCCAGGATTCCCTGCACGATGTCTGCACCTGACGGTGAAAAGGGTTGAGGGTTTGGGCTTGCGGCTTGCTGTTTACGGGTTCGTGGTCTTGTCTTGCAGGTGCAAAGTCCACACACAGTACCGTTTACAAACTACTAGATAGGTCCTTTCAGAAGGACAACAGCTTTCTGGAGTGTAGGAAATCATTTTGGCAAGACCGTCCTGGGCCCAAGAGGAACTGGGGGTTATTCAGACTTAAGGCATGTAAGGTGTGGACTTTGTGGATTTCGGAGTAGAGGGTTTTTGCCTACTTCCTCTACGATGTCGGGTTTGACGACTCGGGGCTTATGGGTAGGAGCTTGGGGTTTAGGTTTTAGGCTTTAGGGTTTAGGGGTATCATAGAATAGGACTTCACAAGGACTCGAGTTTGTACAGCTGCTGCAGTTCAGCGGCACAAGAGCCCATGTAAAACTCCGTGTATATTCCCCAAGACCCCATAAACCCTAAACCCCCAATAAACCCTTCAAAGCCACCCTGCGGTTTGGACGTTATTGGCTTTTCAGCGAGCATTGAGTTGAGAATCTGAACCCAACAAAACTCGGACCCAGTACCCTAAATAACCTTCCAAGCCAAGAGTGACCAACTCAACTCGAAGTTGAATGGGAGGGGGGCTGGTCCGTTTGTGTTGCTGAAAGCTGGAGCTCGGGGTTTCGGCTTACATGTGGACACCAGCGAGAGAGCTTGCTAGAATCCAGGACTAGGCAGCACTTCAACCAGCTTTCGCAGCACACCAACCAATCTTCTTGAAACCCCTCAAACCTCCCACAAACACAAAAAAGAACCCAAAGACCGAAATTAAGCAAACGAACAAGTCGCCGACCTCTAGACCCTAAACCCTCTCAGTCTGTAATATACAAGCGCCAATACTTGCAACAGGATCTCGAGATGGTCGAATCCCAACAGAGTATAGCTATTCAGGCCTCCCTAAACCCTAAACCTCCTAAATTCAAACCCCTAAACCCTGAACCCTCGTTTTTTAGAGCTCCTCTGGACTTTGAAGTAACCAGGGAGAAAAAAGTATAGACTTATATTTCATAATGGTTCCTTTAAGGAACAAGTCCCCCAAAAAAGTATTAAAGCCCTATAAGCCCTAAACCCTAAACCCTAAACCCAAAACCCTAAACCCTAAACCCTAAACCCAAAACCCTAAACAGTATGGTACTCCAGAGCCCAGTCCTGGTTCACCCCCACCAGACCTGGACCTGTCAAACTAGGCTTCGGGCCCTTCTTGTCGAAAAGGCTCTTGCCTGGCATAGGCTTTTTTGGGTTTCGAGTTTTGGGTTTAGAGCTTTGGGTTTAGAGTGTAGGGTTCAGGGTTTGGGATTTAGAGTTCAGG